GCCAGCAGCAGCGCGCTAGCCAGAGGAAGGCGCAAGTCCGGGGGCTGCCGCGCGCCAAGAAGCTTGAGAAGCTAGGGGTCTTCTCGGCTTGCAAGGTGGGGGCGGGGCCTGGGGTGAAGGGGCGGGGCTTGGGGCATCCCTGGGCTCGGGTGGGAGTGGGGTCAAAGCTCTGGCTGCGGAGCGGCTCTTGCCCCAGAGGTATAGATCACTGACTGATCCTTCCACCTCCAGGCCAATGAAACCTGTAAGTGTAATGGCTGGAAAAACCCCAAGCCCCCCACTGCACCCCGCATGGATCTGCAGCAGCCAGCTGCCAACCTGAGTGAGCTGTGCCGCAGTTGTGAGCATCCCTTGGGTAAGGCAGGCAGCGCCCTTGGAGCTGGGGGCAGCTGCTTGGACAGGGTGACAAGTGCCACAAAGCCTCATCTCTGAAAAAATCAAAGATGCCTCGAAGGAGGGATTGGGTTGGGGGGTGTGTATGCACCAAGGGAGGGGAAAGGAAATCTCTCAGCCCAGAACAGGCCCAGGAAACCCAATGGCTGTTATCGCAGCAGTCAGTCTCACTATTGGTCACACTGGTTGGAGGGACGGAGTGTGCATCTTGGTTGACTGTGAAGAGGGTCAAGAAGCCTTGTTGATTTCTTCCATCAATTTTTCCCAACTCTGCCATCTGTCTTGCAGCTGACCACGTATCTCACTTGGAGAATGTGTCAGAGGATGAAATAAACCGGCTGCTGGGGATGGTGGTGGATGTGGAGAATCTCTTCATGTCTGTTCACAAGGAGGAGGACACAGACACCAAGCAGGTCTATTTCTACCTCTTCAAGGTGAGCTTCTACTGAAGGAGGGTGTGAATGAAGGAGGTGGGGCCTTGAGGGGTTGTCTGCAGCTCTGTCCCGCTCCCCTCTATGCCCCTTCCTCTTCTCTCTAGCTCCTGCGGAAGTGCATCCTGCAGATGACCCGGCCCGTGGTGGAGGGGTCCCTGGGCAGCCCTCCATTTGAGAAACCTAATATTGAGCAGGTGGGATAGGGAAATTGGAGATAGCGGAGAGGAGAATTGGGGACAGCTTGGAGGAGTGGGGAGCCTGTGTTCTCCATCCTCCTCAAGCTGAGAACAGTGGGGAGGTTCAGAGAAGGGAGGGTGTTTTGTGCTAACCTCAGGGTGGGCATGGTGGTAGGGAGGGGGCAGAGCTTTTCTATAGAGAGCACCCGAGAGAGAGAGGAGAACCTTGTCCCTGGCCTCAGGGAGCATCTTCCTTTGTCTAAGAAGGCCCTGCAGGCTGCTCACATCTCATTCCTGGTTTTATTCCCCACCCACCCCTTCTCAGGGTGTGCTGAACTTTGTGCAGTACAAGTTTAGTCACCTGGCTCCCCGGGAGCGGCAGACGATGTTCGAGCTCTCAAAGATGTTCTTGCTCTGCCTTAACTACTGGAAGCTTGAGACACCTGCCCAGTTTCGGCAGAGGTCTCAGGCTGAAGATGTGGCTACCTACAAGGTCAATTACACCAGGTAGGCCCAGCCAGGGGCAGCTTCGGGGGAGGCTTGCAGGCCCAGCCTGGGTTCAGTGGTTTCCGCCCTCACCTGTCTCCCGCTCAACTCCCTACTCCAGATGGCTCTGTTACTGCCACGTGCCCCAGAGCTGTGATAGTCTCCCCCGCTACGAAACCACTCATGTCTTTGGGCGAAGCCTTCTCCGGTCCATTTTCACCGTTACCCGCCGGCAGCTGCTGGAAAAGTTCCGAGTGGAGAAGGACAAATTGGTGCCCGAGAAGAGGACCCTCATCCTCACTCACTTCCCCAAGTAAGGCTCCTTCTGGCCTATCAGGATTTGGCCCCAAGTTCACATCCTCCCTGTTGTCCCCTTTTTTCCAGGAAGGCTTCCTGGATTGGTCCCTCCTCTCCCTCCATGGGCCTTCTGGGATCTGGGCGTCTACCTGGCAGACTTGCCCATGGCCCAGAAGCAACTTGCTAGTACTAGTCTGGGGATGGCAGGTACATAGCCCAAGCTAACGCTGCCCCCACCCCACCCTACGCCCCGGTAGATGTTACTAATTGTTTCCCATGGGGGCCTGGACACAGCCTCAGACTCCTTCCCTGCACAGCTCTCCAAGAAATCAGAGCTTATGCTTGAAGTGAAACCAATTTCTACTCCTGTTCTGGTCTTTTCTGTACAATTTTCTTCTGTTCGGCCACACCTTTTAAAATCTGGGTCATAACTCCCCTGTTCAAAAAACCCTCACTGACGAATCCTGGCTCTCTAGTGCCCTCCGCCATCAGGTGGGAACAAGAGATGGCAAGGTGGGGTGGAGTCTGAGCCCATTTTGATACTGAGGGCAGTGAGGGGATTCAGGGTGACAAGGTGCCCTGCCTGGCCACACAGCACAGGATGACATCAGCTCAGACCTGTCTCCCTGTGCTACACAGCATGGTGAAACTGAGCTTCTTTGATCTCTGTCCTGGATGTGTCCTGTTGTCTTACCTTCAATTGGAGGCTCCCAGAAGACAGGGGCTGTCCCCTCTTTCAGGTCCCCAGTTCCCTAAGAGCAGGGTCTGCTCTGACCAGCCTCCAGTCCCTCTGCCGCCTGGCCCAGGCTGCACCCTTGGAGAACAGAGTTGTGGGACAGACTGTGTCCTCCCTACAGATTCCTGTCCATGCTGGAGGAGGAGATCTATGGGGCAAACTCTCCAATCTGGGAGTCAGGCTTCACCATGCCACCCTCAGAGGGGACACAGCTGGTGCCCCGGCCAGGTATGTGCCATGGTATGCTCTGTAGGGTGTCTGGCCTGCCTGGCTGAGCTAAGCCTCCTGGGTGGAAGAGGGCTCAGCTGGGCCAGAGGCCCTGGATCCCACTGAGGGACCTGCCACCAGCTTCAGCCCTCCCGTCCCTGACTTCTCTCTCTCTCTGTCTCAGCTTCGGTCCCCCCGTCCCTGACCTCTCTCTCTCCCCCCTTAGCTTCAGTCCCCCGGTCCCTGACTTCTCTCTCTCTCTGTCTCAGCTTCGGTCCCCCCGTCCCTGACCTCTCTCTCTCCCCCCTTAGCTTCAGTCCCCCGGTCCCTGACTTCTCTCTCTCTCTCCTCAGCTTCGGTCAGTGCAGCAGTTGTTCCCAGCACCCCCATCTTCAGCCCCAGCATGGGCGGAGGCAGCAACAGCTCCCTGAGTCTGGATTCTGCAGGGGCCGAGCCTATGCCAGGTGGATACTTGATCCCTGACCTCTGACCATCATTCACTCCTTCCCAAACCTTTTTTTACTGATCCTGACCAACCTTGCCTGCCTCCCCAATAGGCGAGAAGAGGAAGCTCCCGGAGAACCTGACCCTGGAGGATGCCAAGAGGCTCCGTGTGATGGGCGACATCCCCATGGAGCTAGTCAATGAGGTCATGCTGACCATCACTGACCCTGCTGCCATGCTGGGGCCTGAGGTGGGCAGCCCGACCTGCTGACCAGTTGGGGGACCCCCACCAACCTGAAACCCCAGCTCACCGCCCCTCTTCTGTGCCCAGACAAGCCTGCTTTCGGCCAATGCGGCCCGGGATGAGACAGCCCGCCTGGAGGAGCGCCGTGGCATCATTGAGTTCCACGTCATCGGCAACTCGCTGACGCCCAAGGCCAACCGGCGGGTGTTGCTGTGGCTCGTGGGGCTGCAGAATGTCTTTTCCCACCAGCTGCCACGCATGCCTAAGGAGTATATCGCCCGCCTCGTCTTTGACCCGTGCGTCCCCCAGAGAGCCCCTCCCCCAGGGCAGCACCCCTGGGTCCCTTCCTCCTCGGCCTCTTGACTCCTCAAAATTGGAGATCCCCTGCTCCCCACTTCTGAAGTTCAACCTTTGAGCATTCTTATTTCTCACTGCCCAACCCTGACTACAGTTCAGACTTCCAGGGCTCTGGGGACCTGAAGGAAACAGACAGGGGCTGTGACGTGCCCACCTCTCTCTTAGGAAGCACAAGACTCTGGCCTTGATCAAGGATGGGCGGGTCATCGGTGGCATCTGCTTCCGCATGTTTCCCACCCAGGGCTTCACGGAGATTGTCTTCTGTGCTGTCACCTCGAATGAGCAGGTCAAGGTGAGTGTGGCTCCCCAGCCCACTTGCTCCGGAGTTTGGGTCAGCTCGGAGCAGCGGGATGTGTGGGATGCAGCAGTCCCTTGCTCTTCTCTTAGTGGCCCGTTCCTCACATCCCCACAAGGTGGCAGCCGTACTTTGATAACTGTGGATTAGGAAACCACCTGTTCACAGATGGAGCCCAAGAGGCGGCCACGCTTTGGTGACCTGTGGACTAGGATTTTCTTCATCACAAGAACATTTACATACATGGGGGAATTAATTACTTTACTTTTTATTTTTTATTTATTTTTTGAAACGGGGTCTCTCTCACCCAGGCCGGAGTGCAGAGGCATGATCAGGGCTCACTGCAGCCTCGACCTCCCAGGCTCAAGTGATTCTCGTGCCTTGGCTTCCCAAGTAGCTGGGACTACAGGCATGCGCCATTACATCTGGCTAACTTTTGTGTTTTAGTAGAGACAGGGTTTTACCATGTTGCCCAGGCTGGTCTCCAACTCCTGACCTCAAGTGATTCACCCGCCTCGGCCTCCCAAAGTGCTGGGATTACAGGTGTGAGCCACGGTGACCAGCCGAACTAACCGTTATTACAGTAGTCCTATGCTGATAGCCTTGGCTTCTGTCCTTTGTTACAACAGACCCCCTCGTAGGGTCGCTGGCTCTGTGTGTCACATACCTCAGATCTGCGTGGCGCATCGTTGGCCCTGATGTGTGGGAGCCATTGCTTCTGCTCAGGCCTCTGGTGACTCCCTCTCCCTCCTCTCCCAACTCTGAGGCCCAGGGACTGGGAATCGCTGGCCTGTGTTGGGTTTGGACCTGGCCCTGCCACGGCTGGCAGCCTGACCTTGAACGCATTTCCTAACATAGCTGAGTTTCAGTTTTCTCTTTTCTAAAATAGAGGTGGTACTACTCGCCTCTGGGGTTGAGAATCGGTCTGTAAAACAGGAAGCACTGCACCTGGCCCAGAGTGAGCTTAGAAAGCCTCTACCTTTCACTTTCCCCCATAAACTCCCCTCCCTCTGTCAGCTGCCTTTCTTCCTCTTTGCCTGGATGCGCTCCCTCTCCCCACCTCCTTTCCAATCCACCCGCTCCACTCTGGGCTCTGAGACCTCTCCAGCACCAGGCCCATCCTCAGCTCCTGGTGAGTCCTGCTCCCCTCCCCCACAGGGTTATGGGACCCACCTGATGAACCACCTGAAGGAGTATCATATCAAGCACAACATTCTCTACTTCCTCACCTACGCGGACGAGTATGCCATCGGCTACTTCAAAAAGCAGGTGACCCGTAGCCTTGTCCCACACTGGTCCTTTGCCTGAAGCCTGGGGTCATTCTGTCCAGCCACTCTGTGGATGGAGTAGGAGTCCCTTTATGTCCCCTACTTCACCTGACACCTGCCAGGAAAGTCTCCATGCCTATCTTCTTTCCTCTGCTGCCACTGCCCCAGGGGAGAATGGGGGCCTATGGGGCCAGTAGAGCAGGCTGGAGGAACTGGGGGGCCAGTAGAGCAGGCCGGAGGAACTGGGGGGCCAGTAGAGCAGGCCGGAGGAACTGGGGGGCCAGTAGAGCAGCCTGGAGGAACTGGGGGACCAGTAGAGCAGCCT